GGTGTGTGTGGTGCGGAGCCCGCGCCCCTCAGCCGCTGCGCGGGAACTCTGCGCTCCCGAAAGCGGCGCTCTCCCTCGCTCAAATGGCCACAGGGGAGCTTAAAATTCATTTTCAGGTAGGAGGGAGTTCTGCGCTTTGAGGTTTCGGGTAGGGACAGGGAGACGGTCACGAGGAGTTTCCCAGTGCTGGGAGCGCGGGTGCCCGAGGCGCAGCTTGCGGTTTGCCGGGAGCTCTAACGCGTAACGCAGCGCCGCGTCGCGTAACGGAGGCCTGTCGCGACCTGCAAGGTTTTTGTGTTGGGAGAAAAGCGAGAAAACTTAACTCGGTACGGCTTGCGAACCTACGTCGAGGAAATAAATCCCGCCTGTTGCTTTTAAGTTACTCACTCGGCACCAGCTGAAGGGTGGGAATGCCGGGAATCGGATTTTCCTCAAACTTGGAGCAAAAAAACTTGATGGCTGATGAAACCTACTGTCACCGAATTAGGTGTTCTCCCAAAATACGGGTGACTCCCCTGTCTCTCAGGAATTCAAGATGCCGGTTCTGGTGTATGTGTGGCTTCGAATTCCAGAGTCAAATGCCGGCCCTTCCGTACCCTTCAGTAAGAATTGGCGTTTCCCACAGTAGCCTGACTCACCAGATGATTTACTGGCTTGGTCTGCTGTTGGGATGATCTCTCAGGAACTCTGTGTAAATTGGTTCAGCTGATACTAAATCAAGTGTAAGACAACATGGTATGCTCCCACCCTCTAAAATTTTTACTGAAGGAAGTTAAGACCTGCTAAGAAGTTTTAAAATAGGAATACCAAAGACTGGCTGAAGGCGATTCCACGTTTTGCCTGTCATAGAGCTTTGGTTTGTTGCAGATAAAGATAATTTCTGGCGTATTTAACCACTAAGCCCTTCCTTGGTCATGCTTGTTCCTTTTCCACAGTAGTCACGACCCTACAAGGTGTTGAATTCTGCAGTGGAGCACTTCGACACATGCCAGTGCTACATTATCCTGTCGACTGGCAGAGTGAGGAACATAATGAAGTAAAGTTTTGCACTGCAATCAAGCAGTGATTTCAAGCAGAAATCAATCAATCAGATCAAAGTGCAAGGAGATGTTCCTCATCCCAGGCTGGTTTTAGTTTATAGAAACAGCTCATGCTGACTTTATGGTTATTTGAGTAGAGTTTGTACTGGAGTAGCACAACTGCTACCTGGTTATGGTCAGCAGAGATTCACAAGTTAGAGAAATAATCATTAGTGTTATTTACTGATGTATATTTATTTACTGATGCATATTTATTGTAAGGGGCAAGGATACTGAAAATTTATAGAAAATAACTTGGAAGCTGTCGAAAGTTCCTAAATGAAGCAAAGAGGAAATTTTAGCAAAGAATGGTTGTTTATTCATCTTAATTTTGGTACAGATGGCAGGGATATGGGAGCTCATTTGCCAGTACTGGAAGCGTCCAGATGGAAAACACCCTAAAACAGGACAACGTGTTCACAGTCAGATAGCTGAGAACACAACTTATACACGATGCACGGAAAATGAACATGATACAGCAAAGAATTTTGAGTTCTTAATCCTCCTTAGGCTGATGGGTTTTTAAACACTTCTTTCTTTCCGCTTGCTCTTTCTTTTCTTTCTCACTTCCTTCCACCTGTGCTTTTATTTCCCCTTTCTGTAACCATCTGTGCAACTTTTCTTCATCGATTTCTGATCCTAAAGAATATAATTCAGAATGTTTATTAGAGTGAGCAGCTTTATTTTTATGCCACTCCATTTTTCTCACCCATGGTTATGGTATTCACTGCAGAAGTTCAGCATAATTCCCAATTCTGACTAGGTATCTTCAATTTGGTATTTTTTCCATAGGTAGTTGATTTAAACCAATGCAAAATCCTCTAAATTGGCTTGAAGCAAACAAACTGAAAATGAACGTGAAGTGACCAGGGAGTATTTTGATTCAAAGTGAAAATACTGGCTCAGGTCACGTTGAACCAAATTAAGAATATCAGTAAAAGGTTTTAAACAGTTTGACCAAACTCAGTTTAATGTTTTACCTGAAGTTAGTGGTGCAATTTTGAATTTAGACAAGACCTTAGGTGGTCTAATGGCAGTAAAACTTAAATGCAAGATCTCCAAAGTTTTGCTATAAACTGTGCATAACATTCCTTATATTTCTGAATATTAAAACCGAAACATAACACAAACACCTGTGATTTATTCTTAACATACAAGGGAAGAGTAGACTTCTACTTTCATGTGACCTTAAAAAGCTATTCTACATACTGTTTCCCATTCCTGATTTGCCAGAACAAAGGTTAGGACTCTTGTTTTGGACACAGTTAAAGGGGTTAAATGAAAAAAGCTGCATGCTGAAGTGTAACTGGATAGACAGCAGTTACCTTCTGCTGTGGATATGGAGCTCACTGTGTGGAGTGAGCCTTTAGTATAGCAAACCACAAGCACGGTGCCTTATTAGATCTGAACCAGAGGGCAACACCCTTGTCAGCTCATCAGTAATTCTAATAAATGAAATGCTGTTGTCTCACTTTCAGTGGGGTTTGCTTTACTCTTTGGAAGACCTTAAAGATCTTTGTAAGTAGCATTAGACGGGAATAGAGCCCTGAGCTTCTGAACTGTGACTGCTAGTTCTTGGCTAGAATCACACACTCGGAAGTCTAGGAAAAGAAGTCATTGGTTTTATTATCCTGATCAGTTAACAGGTATTTTCCAATTTACTCTACTACCTAAGCCCTATCCCTACTTATTTTTCTTGATTTTCTATGATTCACAAAAATCATATTTAAAGTTTTGTAGTTGTATTTAGTCATATCCATCCCAGCAATTTTTCTCTCCAGCTCCATTCTGCACATGCTTTGGTCTTTCCAACAGCCTCTTGGTCTCCCTAACCTCTGTTGTGTGGAGCTTTTAGTTTCTTTGGGCAAAGACACCTCAGTTCCTTTCATTTCAGATTTTTTTCCCCTAAAATTCATTAGTGTTCCTAATTTCAGCATGGGAAACTTGTAATCTGTAGTACTGCTTTAACTGTCTACTTTAAAGGTAGTACAGAACCTATGCAGTCTAAGCTCTTTCTAACGCTCAGTAAATAAAAGCCTTTTTCTCTTCCTTCTGTTTATTCTGGCTTTCTCATCTCAGCTTTGGTTTTGAGATTCTGATGATTTTATTTTTTTTTAAATTAACCTTTTTTTAAAAAAAGGTTTATTGTGTTGCTACATATACAATTTACAGCTTATTTCAAAGCAACTAGGACAGATACAGAATACTGTTGAAGATTTGTACAGGAAATCAGAAGAATTATGAAACTGGCTATTGCCAAGTTATATACACTCACAGTCTAAAATGACTCATTGTGGGAAAGTAATAGGAGGACAATTGCTGAATTTTCAGAAGAAAGCATACTGGGAGTATCCCTTGTGAAACAGGCTGCAACAGCTATAAAAAAAAGCTTTGTCTTTATGAACATTCAGTTATTACAAATGTAAAAGGAACTAGATATGAGAAAATTTTTTTTTTCCCCAAGAGTCATACAAAAATTTATGAGTAAGAGCAACATAGTGGAGAACAAATCAGCTGACGGAAAAATTTCTGTGTAATTTACACTGGACCGGCTAATATACCAAGTGGTGAACAGGGAAAGGAGTTGCGTTGAACAATGAGAACTGTATTCACCATCGCCCAAATTAGAAATGTGTGTCTATTTCTTTAGCACTTAAAAACGCAATGAACTTTTTATGAGGACATGAACACACACTTTTAGAATACAGCTTCTGTTTCATTTTAATAGAATTCCTTCTGTTGTTAATCAGCAAGCATTATACAAACTAATTTTCATTTATGTCAAACTCAGTAACACAAGAAACAACACAGGCTAGCTCTACAGTGTTGAAGGGGGGGAAGCTTTTACTGAAGGTCCTGAAAGAAAAAAACGAAACGAAACAAAAAAACCCTATGTCAAATAGGGACAGATGGGCAAATTAAAACTTAGAGGAAGACAAATTTATAGGACAGCAGGTAGTCAATCTTTAGGATTTTGGCTTCTAGGCAGCTGAAGCAATAGAACTTTGAATTATTCTAAATATGATTTAGCAATTTAAGGACACCTTGAAACAGACTTATTAGATTTTGGGAAAAGATATATATTCTGGATTTCCTGATTCAAAATTGCTTACAAATACAAACATGTTGGAAAAGAAATCACATATTAAAAGTTACAGGCACCACTGATTTGATTAGAAAAAAAGACTTGTCTTGTTCTGGTAAATATTTCCTGTGGGGCAGCAGATAACGAAAAACATACCACCTCCCCAAATAAAGGGGGTTTAGTTTGAATCAGACTATTAACAAGACAGATTACTTTGTTCCACCTGGTAGTATTTTATCTGTCAGGATAAGGTGCTGCAGTTATGTGTGGTCACAAGGTTCACAGTTCTGAAAAAGTGGTATCGGTCCCATACTGAGGATGTGGTATTCAGAAATTATTTTCAAAGAGTTAGCCAGAACAAAAAAAAAAACAAAACCACAAACAAACCAGAAAAGGTAGGACAAACAAATCAGTGAGGCTACAGTAAGACTTCCAGTATTATTATGAAATTTGAATAATTATGTACTATTGGCTACAATGTCTGATTTCTTAGAAAAGTCTTATTCCACTGTTAGCATCTTCATGGTATTAGTATTCACAAGTTGCTGCTAACTATAAAAGCTTTACAGATTCATAGTACCTTTATCGATAAGGACTTTTGTCCAGCTTTCCTCTCCTGCCTTGTAGTCAAGTGCTGTCTTCACGCATACTTGGCTTTGGAAATTGCTTAGTGCTACAGTGTGTTCAAAAAACCACTCAGTTAAGTCTTCTATTTTTAGATCTACAAGTATTTTGCTTTGTGTCCTCTTTAGTCTCTTCGCGGGTTCTTTCCCTCCAACTTCTGTGTTCTCTGCTGATTTCTCAGGTAACTGGCAAGAGATTTTCTGATCTGTTTCTAGTCAGCCAGCTCCTAGTCGTACTTCTGTAATGTTCCACTTCAACAACTATCCCAAAATAAGTAAGATTTCAGGATTTAGTACTACATTCAGTGCTGCACAAACAATTCTGCATT